ATCAATAGTAAGGAGCACAAAACAGTCGTTAATAACCTTGAGTTTTCGTTTAAACTCGTAGTTAGTCATTTGCTGTTCAACGAGTAACTTAACCATAGTATTTATAAATGAATAGTTTGTTCATGGGTGTATATATTTTCACATACTCATTCAGATGGCGAGCAGTTCTTTCTCATTCAGTCTGTTTAGTAGGAATTTAAGTCACCATCAAGTGATCATACTATCAAGTAGACCATATTAATCATTTCCGTATTTTACCAAACTGATTGCATCATCGTAAAGTGTTGATGATTGGAGAGAAATAACATTATCCAAATACAAAATTGCAAGTTTATAAAAGGTAGTTAAAATGAACTCTCTGACTGTATACGTTGCAATGAGTAAAATATTCATTACCTTGAATCACACTGTTTTACTTCGAGCAATATAGTTAATAAAATAAGTTTAGAAAACAAACCCATAAATAATCTTGATGCACTAAAATGAAAAATTATTTCTTATTATGTTGATGAGAATATTTCTAACTAAACATCGGATCTAAGAACTGTGCTTCAGTGGTCATATATGATAATGTAAAGTGAATCCAGATTAAAACATCAGGTGGTTCGAAAATTCTTTAATAAATACTCGATTACTGACTGAGTCAAACAGTTAATTTGTGATAATCATGCAGATATAGTTCTGGTTCTTAAGTTTGATATAAAGACAAATATATTGTTGATCTATTTACTGCATAGAAATACATTTAATTTCATTTGTTTGCAATATAAAAATAGAATTTGTTTATCCTTATGTATTTAACTGAAGACTATAATGTCAGTTTAACTAGGAGAATGTAATCAAGAGAGGCAATATAATGGTACCATTTGATCACAGCATGCTACCGATATTTTCCGAAATGTTTTCATTAAACGCTTTTGTTCGATATAATCCTCACGTAACTTATTGTGGACATATAGCATTCAATACTATTGTCATCTCAATTAATAGAATTTATTAAGTCTTGTAAAATAATGACTTAGTTATATATCATATGAACATGAGCTTAGATAGAAAATTAACATTTGATTACATGGTCGATTACTCGAGGTTACTTTATTGATTTGCCACAAAGTAATACACTCATTTTTGAACTAATTTCATCACATCAATAGCATACATTTCTTGAGATATTTAATTTCTGGAAATGGAAAATCTAAATCACCCTGTTGTACTATACGATCGTCTGGGTATGATACTAATACGCAAACTTTCTAAACGCGAACTCGAACCAACTGTTTGAGTGGGAAAATTAAGAATGAGCAGGACACTTTATTAAGGAGAACCCAATTAAGTATTTATATACACTCGTTCATAAATGCCATTTTCCTACAGAAAATATGGCCTGATTTTCAACCAATAGCGTATATCTCTTTCTTTAGAAAGTGATTATTCTTCACCAATAGTGTTCACTTATATTTGGACGACACAGCGTAGTATGTTCTCATAGACCTAGAGTGGATTTACAGAGATTGAATTCAATTCTTAAAATATCACTGTTCAAAGAGTGTTTATATTCATTGCTAGAATGAACTATTACCATTTTTAGATAACATTTTTTGTAAATGAAAGATTCATTTTTATCTTAGGGCTATAGAGTCTATCTTAATTGTTATATAGTTTAACACTTTATAAAACAATTTATTTCTTCTTACTATTCTTGGCGTTAAAACAATAAGCAAAATTTAAAAATAGCAAAGAGAGTTAATAAACTTTCATATACTCGTATTACTTGATAAAATACTGAGGAAGCCTTTGCAGCAATGCTTACGAGAATACTGTTATGGACCTGTAACTTTTATGAATTAACGAATTAATATCCGGATTAGTCTGACTAAGCATGATAAAACTTCACGAAGTTTTGACGACTTACCTTGACACTTATGTTCAACGTGTTTCTAAATAGTATTATGCATTATCGTTGTGTGGTGTAACATAATAACATCAAACAATAACGAATTTTAATTGAATGCAACTTTTAATCTGAAGTGAAATTGAATAAGAAGTCATTGGAAACCATGGAGCATGTTTTAAGATACCTAGATAATACACATTCAGTGTACTACAACTAATGTAATCTAAGACCTTCATTTTATATGAAGGGCACTTTTATTTCAACCTGTGATACTGACCTATTATGTCCTTGTTTAGTCTGTCTACTAGTCTGTGCCTAGTAATCAGAGAGGGTTGTCTTGATCTAGCTTACGGAATTTAAATCATGGGTTTGTCAGTAAAACTTTGAGACGTAACACGAAAGTTCGACTTATGACTGAACAGTGTTGAGGGCATAATGACGAAAAGTATCCTGCCACTGACCTGTGGACTGATACGTTGGGAAGTGGAGAGACAGAAAACGATTTATTTGGCACAGAGAATCTGGTTTACTCCTGATTTAAGTAACTTAAAATAGGTACATGGATAAATGTACGACTGATAAAACCACAACGCACACGGAATGAGAAGGATATAATTTTATCCAAGACAAGACAGAAAAAAATGGAATACAAGGATCACGTCTTATTAACGGCAATTTTGGAATAAAATAGAATACGACAGTAATTTATACATCAAATAGAAACTTATGAACAATAGAATAAAACAGGCACTGATCTAAATGTTAGCAATTTACAGATTTCTAATTAAATCAAATAATGTTTTAAAAAATAGTTCTTCTTTTTTGTTGTTACTTTTTAATTTCTCTTTGCACATTGACAAAAACATCCGAATTTCGTAAAATAAACCCGAAAATTGCAAACTGTAACAAAATAGAAAACACTCACATATCCTTTAGCGATTAATGTGAAGAGCTCAAAATCGTAAACGGTGATTCATATCCTTTTATAGTTTTATTTTTTTTAAATCATAGTAACAGTATTATTTCAGATTTTCTATCCCATCATTTTACTTGACTCCTTCAAAAATGGATGAACTGTTATAATAAATGCAGATACAATTATCCGATTCCTTCACTTCCTTACTATGCTGAAATAAAGCATAACTGTTTGAGTCGTTATATATTTATATCAGGTCGAAAGTTACTTGTGTCAGTCTTTTAATGGTAGAGTCCGCCAAAATTTTAGTTTGTGTTTAATGTTGTTAATAATTTAATTTCTTCAGTTATAGTTAGCTTAATTAATCTTGTATTAGTTATAAATAGAATTACTTTGGGAATGGTTTTCATCATGGGTCAATAAGTGCTGAATAGTTAATCTATATAGAATAGATAATGGTGACTATAAGATAGTAATTTGTTCACTGTGATACCTGTAATTCTTTGATTCAATATTTGCTTTCTTTTTTGTACCCATTGGCTGGAGGTCTTAATCAGTTTCTTATGGAAAGCATTTCAAAATTGTAAATTAATCTTCAGAATTTACCAAAGTGAACGATAAATTTTACTCATGTTACATATGAAATGATACTTTGTTCATAGTTGAGTGCTAATGTTTCCGATAATTAATCACTAATTAAGATATCAATCATTTTAGACAGTTATTTTTTGTTTCTGGGTAATTTAAGATATTTTAGTGTTACATTTTTAATGTTTTAATGTCCATTAGCCGAAGGTAATATAGTGCTGTATATATCTTGAATGTTCTATACAATCATTTTATTGTAATAGAATTAAATCTAACTTATAGCATTCTTTTTATATTTTATAAGACAGATTTAGAGGAATAAAAGTTGTCCTTGATAAATTTTGCTAAATACTCCATACTTTCACAATTGATTGATCACTAGGTGGTGATCAATGTCATGCTTGTCTAGTCCTTATTAGTGCAGATCGAATGCTATCGATCATGTTGCAATGTGGCCACCAGTCTAGGTGACTCGACACTGCGGGCACTATGTATTGAGATTTTAGATGGTAGTTGGAGGTAGTCAACAAGAAACCTTGGACCCGAGTTTCGTGCTACTTGGCACTCGTCAACAAGGTGTACCTGTAATCTTGAGGGAACTGGTGCTCCCTGGCGGATTAGATCTCGTGTCACCCAGCTTCACAGTCAGAGACGTTACCACTGAGCAACATGATCGATAGCATTCAATCTGCACTAATAAGGACTAGACAAGCATGACATTGATCACTACCCAGTGATCAATCAATTGTGATTACATCTCAGTCCTACAGTAGGTTAGTCACGGCTCGGATAGCTCAGTGGTAACGTCTCTGACTGGGAAGCTGGGTGACACGAGATCTAATCCGCCAGGGAGCACCAGTTCCCTCAAGATTACAGGTACACCTTGTTGACGAGTGCCAAGTAGCACGAAACTCGGGTCCAAGGTTTCTTGTTGACTGCCTCCAACTACCATCTAAAATCTCACTCCATACTTTCATTATTTTAAAATATGCATTTTTTCAAACTTCTAAAATTGGTAATCATAATACAAATTATAAATTATTTTAATAAGCATTTTACAAGAGAAATAAAGACTTAAATCAACTTACTATTGTGGTGTGTGCTATTTATGTCGACATAAGTAGTATATAACGCTAGTCAGGAATAGAATATCTGGCAGCAGAAAGTTGAGAAGATCGAGGAGAAAAGAACGGGGACAGAAAGCAATTGGTATAGAAATGTAGGAACAAAGAAATTTGAGACAATTAATGAACATTTTACAAGCAGGTTGTTGGAGTATGGTTTTTCTATTTTATCAAGTAACTGTGCAATAGGTCCTCAGTTAGTTTAGATTTTGGATACATGGCTAATTTAATTGAAAAATAATGACATTTCTTTGAACTGCAATTTAGTCACTGTCGTTTCATAGCTTTTCATCATCTTAGTGAATATAGTATAACTTTATTTAGATACTTAGCGTATACATCTACATTAACCATCCGTTAACATTTAAAAGGACCTTGACAAATCAACCAATCGGTGGTTAGTTGTAGATATAGTTACAGTGCATTTTATTTATTTATATCGTTACATATGGAAATAAATTAATTACCCAACTAAAAAATGTTGAAATCCGTTGCAAGTAAGTCACTAGTTTATGGGGTTTTTATTTACTGGATAAAATGTTTAAGTATATCATAGAAGAGTTCGGTCTTCAATATTAAATTAGGACTATTACATGTTCGAGAATGTTAATTCTTTCTATGAATGACAGACAAAGAAATTTATTCTTAAATAACTAGTGAAACTTCAGTAGATCTTATATTTTAAACCTAAATAATAAAAAAATTTTGGTACTTTTAAAATTTCGTTAATAATTGTATATAAAGTTAGTGTTTTCATTTATTGTGTTGCTTTTTAAACAACACGTTACTGTGACAAGTTATGGTTCAGTATGTTCTCTTTCATGGTATACACGATCACCCAATTGATAATATCGATAGTCCTATATAGGGAAAAATGGACACATATCTACAAATGAAAGCAATAAAGTCAATATTTTATTGATTCGTTTGTAGGTTTTCTTATTTTAAGTAGTAATGTGGTGTGTGATAGTGATGTCGATAGATATAAGTAGTATGTGTCGTCAATCGAAAGTGAAATGTAGGGAGGCAGAAAGTTAAGTAGATCAAAGAAAAGAGGGCGAGAACAGGGAATGATTGATGTGGAAGCGAAGAAACAATGAAGTCTGAGACGATTGATTGACATTTTGCAAATGAAATATTTACTGTATAGTTCTTAAATTTCACTGAGATGTTCTGTAATTTTGTATTTAAATACATTCCATTGTCCTCCATTGTGTTCCCGTTCACTACGGTATATCAAACAGTAGTAATAGTTGATGAATAAAAAAATCTGTAATAAAATAATTAACTGTTATTAAAATTCCCTAAGTATATCTAGTTATAATTTTCTCCGTTAAATATATTCACGATTACTTAATTGTTCATTTTAGTACGAACTGTAAAGTATCAAGGGTTAAATTCTCGTATCAAAATTGACTATTAATGTAAATCTATTCTGTCCATAATGATTCATCTACAGTCAATAAATAATATACATATCCTATCATTTCACTTGATTCCTTCAAAAATAGATGAGCTGTTATAATAAATGCAGATACCATTATCCAATTCTTTCATTTCCTTACTATGCTGAAATAAAGCATAGCTGTTTGAGTCAATAATTGCCGTTCTGTGTCAGAAAGTCTGACATAATTTTCACTTAAAATGATGTATAAAAAGTAATATTTTTGGATTTGAAAAATCTGCTATAAACTGCTGAGCATCATCTTTTTAATATTTTCACAACCAAGATGATTTTATAACAATATTGAGAATAATTCATAAGGTGCGCAACGCTTTTTATTTAAGAAATAAAAGAAAGAATTTAAACAATTAGTTCCTTGAAATCAATGAATCCCAGGCTTAAATAATTAAAAAAGAGAACTGTTAAGGTTGATTAGAAGTTTAGACTAATGGAAATCTCTTTAAAGTATTTTGTGCTTATATAATACTTAATACATTTCATATGTATGAACGATGAAAGAATATTTTGTGATTTATCAATCGTTTATCAAATTAATTCTTATTCTACTTCATAATCATTGGTCGTCTTTACGTATCGTGTTTTGTAGCCCCTTATTATCCTATTCAGGATAATGAAAAACCAAAGCTTTTATATACATCTGCTAATTTCTTGGGTATACCCACCAACAGGGGACAACCAAAAATTGGTACATATCAAGGTCCAGAACTTATCCGAAAATCTAATTTTTTCCAGCTTGTAGCTGAAGATGGTAAGATACAACATTGTATTGGTTTTGGGAAACACACATTTTACACAGAGATGGATGATGGCTAGCAATGAAATCCAGGACGCACGCATTTGTCTGTCCAATATTTCGAAGTTACTAACTTAAATATTAGTTATTTTATCATCACTACTACTCAAGTATTTACTATAAACTAAACTTTCTGGTATCAGTTTGGTCAGGTACTTTAGTATTTAAAACCACCGGTCATAAAAATTAAATGACTATTCTGGTTTGAAGCTCGTGTTATAAACAATACATAAGTGTGAAATTTATCAATACAAATCATTTTTATTCTGTTCAAATGTCCTGTTTTCTAGGGACTTTAAAAATGGGTAGATATTGCTTATGTATACTATGAAACTATTGATGGTGTAAGGCATCAGGCGTTTTGAACATTTTATAATCAAACACATGGCTTGATAAAACCAAATTAAATGGTTATATACGGAATAATTTAATAATGAAGACATTTTATCTCCACATTCACGAAATCACTGACTGTGTCACGTAGATTGAATATTGAGACATATAATTGAAGTTTTCCTTTTTGTAATCGGTCATTTCGAGCTTTATATTTTAAAGATATTTATCTTGTTTATCTTGCTAGTATCATATTAGTGGTTATTATCACAAAAGTGAAATAGCTTTCTCTATTCACCAATGCTGAAGGATACGTATAATTTATGTCATGGTTATTAGAAGTTACGATTAAATATTTCCTGAATCTTAAGAAACAAATGAGAAGTAGTAAGGAAATTCAATGAAACAATATTATTTTCAAGGAATTGCGTTCAGTTTAACATTGAAATACTTCTCCGCGATATCATACGAATCATGAATATGTATGATGTATTTTGTACACGAAACATTCTGTAACTAATTCAGCATGGCTGAATAGATCTCTAAAAACAATTTATTAATCTGTTCTATCAAGGTGGTGTAGTAAGTACGTTACTTGTCTCATGTAACGTGTTATGTTATGTTGCTAAAAAAACAAAATAACCCACTGGTGATAGTTATTTCAAATACAATAATTATTAGTAAATTTGATTTTTTCAAAACTCGAACTCTAGGAATACAGTTAATTGACTGTGGAGATGTTACACCTGTAGAACTAAGTGAAACAGAGGATCCACAACGTTTTGGAATGAAATGGTCACGGAGTTTCTCATTGACCACTTTAAAAATAGCCGAACGTGTGGAGGGATTAATGAAACAGTCAACTAAACATAATACTGAATCAAATGAATCAAAATCAACTCCTTTAGTAATTGTTGGTGGTGATCATAGTATGGCGACTGGAACCATACTTGGACATGCTAAAGCTAAACCAGATCTGTGTGTGTTATGGATTGATGCTCATGGTGACATAAATACACCACTGAATTCAGCTTCTGGAAATATACATGGAATGCCTTTAAGTTTTCTAGTAAAAGAATTACAAGACCAAATACCGTGGTTGGACGACTTTGAAGGCATAAAACCTTGGTAAGTTTTTCGTATATATATATATGTTCTGCCTTATAAATATTTTATCCTTCAATTGTAAAATCTTAAGCTATTTGTATTTTTTTCATTTTGTTCATATAGTTAACAATAAAGTTAATCTAGAGTGTTAGAATGAAATCTAAATACATACTATCCTACTAGTACCTAACACCAAACAATATCCATAGGAACTGCATATCACTCAGATTGTAATGTAATCTATGAAATTAGACATATTATTAAAGAGCTTTGCCATCACAGTATGATATTACTTAGTAGTGTGAACCAATGAACTTAAGCTTAATTGAATCGAGGACCTTTAAACCTTACCGAAATTTATTGGTTTACATTTTGAGCTACAATTATTTCGTAACATTAATTCATAATCACTCAAACACATTGACGATATTTGTCTTACACTTGGACAAAAAGCTTCTTTTTTTTCAATGTATTTTCAAATTAGCAATGTCAATCTATACATGTAAATGCCCGACTATATCATGACAGTTTCAAAAATGTTTAACTTAGACCTTTCTTCTGTTTTTTCATCACAACTGACTTATTATTATTAATGATGTAAAAAATAAATAAATAGAGAAATACATTAATATTAAATTCATCACTTCAATGATCTCTATGAACGTGACTTCTTGTAATGATATGAAGGTAATTCACTTTAGAAAAAATAGATAAATATTTGTTGTTTTTCTTTTCTTTCATCAGCAAAAGTCACATGAATCAATAAAATGTATATGAGATTAGGTTGTTGTTTGTTCATTTGTTTGTTTTTATTACCAAAATTACATAATTCACAATGTCAAAACTTATATCAATGAAATTATCTTATGATTACTTATCAGATGACAATTACATTGTTCTATATTGGTTTGATTATTTCTGTAATATTAGTCTTTATATATATATGAAAATTACCTTATAACTTCCTTAATAAATCGTCCAATATTCAAGGACAAGTTAGTGATGTGTTAAATGTGACCATATTGAAGTTAGATTATTTTATTTATTGTTTATTACATAATAATGAATAACAATTACTACCATGGTGATAACAATAATAATGATAATGAAACTGTGAAATGTTTCTATAGAGAATAATTCATTAATTTATAATTTTACCATAGATATAGATACATTCATTGAATTAATAGATTGACTAAATTAATTAAATAATAAGATTGTTTTGTTTTTAAAAAAATAAAACTGATAAAGAGACTAATTTCAATATCGTATAGTAAAGATGTTCAAATTATTCGGCTAATTCAAATGTTTTATAATACAAAATAATATTTAAGTATATCATGTATTGAGATGTTTAACAAGATTTTATAAATAATTTGCACAGGGAAATCTAAGACTTTAATTCAACTATATATTACATAACAGTGAATAAAGTTGATGAGTTTGTTTTGTTTTGTTTTAAATATTACTTACTTACTTACTTATGCCTATTACTCTTAATGGAGCATAGGCCGCGAACCAGCATTCTGTTTTAAATATATCACAATCTTAATCAAATTGAACTTTAGTTTTATGTAATATTTTACAAAAACATTTATAGTTCTTAGCTTATTATTCTGAAGAATTATTTTGACTTAAAAGCCTTAATTGCTATTTGTATTTATGGTTCAATCATATAAAGTGAAGAGTAGAAATCTCTTAGTTTTATTCATTGAAATGACTGCCAGGGAAGTTCTACTCACTGCCTTCTTGCGGCATTACTTTTGTTTATGAAATTGCGAGAGAAAAAATCGAGTATCTGGTGATTTAACAGAATCTACTTAGGGGAATTAGAGAAACCTAATTTCAAACCAATGGTGCACATAGATTCCAGTATCCTGTTGGAAGAAATGGCGTATGGACCTATTGCTGGTCATCGGCTATTATGGGACTGCATCTCCTGACGTTGCTTCACTGTCTTGTGGATTAAATCTTCAGCTCGAAGGCTCCGGATGTGGCTCCCTAAGAAAACCACCTACTTTGGTTTGGGCACGCTTGCAGTATCACAGCCTACACACAAATCAAGCAACTTGTGTGTTGCATATATATTCGGTTCTCTTTTGTGCCAATATTAATGTGTTCAAACAAAACAATAATATTGATAAAATTAAATTTCGAATAAATGAATTACAAATGTACGTTAAACAAGGATTTTTGCATACTATTTTTGTATGTTTATAAAAAGAGTGAAACTCTAATTTGAAGATAATTTTTTCAACAACATTCAGATTTACATCTTACATGATTATGACTGTGTTTAAGAATTTACAATCCAAATAGTCATCATTTATAACGTATTTACTGAACCACCAGCAAATGTATCCATGCAGTTAGTTATTCATTTATATAATAAATAATTTTGAAAATACCGATATTATCTATAGGTTTGAACGATTACAAATTCTCTAAAAATCTTGATGATAATAAACACTTTATGTTACTAACGTCTTTATAGGAATTACATTCTTCGCCCATGTTTATTAATTCATGAAGGTGAAGTAAAAATTATATGTACTAAACAAATTAAGAGTATATGTTCATTAATTGAAACTTTTTTCAAAGAAGATAAGTACACATTTAAATGATCAGATTTTTTTAAAAAAGTATACGGATATTTTATACACATAGTGCCCTTTATTATCTTAAATAGAGCAAGAACAAAGACTGGTGCCGAGGGATCAATATCATTACATAAGTAAAATGAAATACAAATTATTTAGTATTAAAATATTCTTGAACCACATGTTAAACACAACAAATTCTGAACTAATTAAAGATTGAACTACTTATTTTATGAAAATGTTATTTATACAGTGTGAAAGTTATTTCATTCGTATTAATTAATCATTAGTAATAAAATCAAAATGTTTCAAATTCATTGTCCTGTGAATTTATTTCTATTAGTATTTGGCAATCTATTTATATTATTTGATTTTCTAATTTTATTAAGAATGATAAAATGATCTTATTCAACAAATTTTGTCAATAATGAGAAATATTGAAAAGAGCAAGAACAAAAATTCTAGCAGAATAGTATGAATCCATTCTATTTCGATGGTTCTCATCAGCTGTTAACAACCTGTGATATTTAGTAAAACATATTCACAAAAATGGATTTAAATTACTTACATGAAAGGGTTTGTTTGGAAGTTATGTTGAAGACATATTAGTACAGTATAGCAATGATGTAAATAAATTTACTAGACTGAAAATTGTAAATATATACTTTATGTGAAAGACCATCCTAAAACATTATGACAGTAGTTTAAACGGCCAGATACAAGTGATTGTATAATGAATAAAGGTTGATAGTAATAAAATGAGTAGATTAGTGAATGATTAGTAAGCAGCCAAACTTCAGTCTTCTGAAGTTCACTGAAGCCGTTGCTATCAGACGCGAAAAACCTGACTTATGTGTTGAAAAAGGAGATGGTTATTGATTTTTCATTGCCTTGGTGACAAATGTTCTTTCGTTGCATCTCAAGCATTTTTAAATTCTTTCTTGCATTTATTATATCATTGAGTTTTATTTCAACTATCTTCCAAATCAGTAATCTTATCAACTGAACTCTACACATTTTGCTCCTATCAACATTTACTCACTATGTAATCACTTGTTTCTGGCCGTTTGAACTATTGTCACAATCAATGTTGTGCAATATTCTTTTACATCAGGTATATCTTTACAATTTTCAGTCTAGAAAGTTTATTTACACCTTTATTTTACTATACTATTCTGCTAGAATCTTTGTTCTTGTACTTTTCAAAATTATTAAGGGAACTATGTGTATAAAATTAGGCTTATGAATATATGATGGTGATTGTACATATTTCATTATTTAAATTAATTATCTAAGCGTGGAAATTTGTTAATTCAGTGGTATTAATTTAAATGATAATTGACAGGTTTACTGAAACATTTTATCTTTTACGAAAAACATAAATCCAGAACATATAATTCTTGTCTTTTTGGGTATTTAATAAAAACGTTTATTGTACTAAACACAAAATAATGGCGTCTTATATTAGGTATCAATGCATATATATAAAGAGGAGTGAACAAATGAACAAATATTTAAGAAATTTGACCAAGAATCTCTCAGTCAAGGTATTGCAACTAGAGCCTATGGCGAAGATATTTAGAGAGGAGAATCGGTATTATTCTTTTCAACAACAGCGAAAGCTCTCCTTTGTATTCAGTAAAGTAGAACATTACTCACACCAACCTTGTTCATGCCACATATTTTAGAAATGAAATGAGTTAGTGAATATTCTGTTTAGGGTTGTGGAGGTTGCTAGATTTCGTTGAAATCATGAACTGACCAATGTTAGACTATTATTGAAAACCTAGAAGCACTGGATGGTTGTTTCGTTCTAGTATGGGAAATGTCAGCAGTGCCCATCCGTGATCCCGTACGCGAAATGCAAACCCAGGACCTTCGGTCTCGCGTGAACGCTTAACCTCTAGACCACTGAGCTAGCATCCATGCATACTGTCTTGCTGAAGTTTTCTTCTAAGGAAAAGTATGTTATATTGTACAATAAAACAAACAGTAATCCTTACATAACCTTAAAACATTTAAAATAATTTTTATTAGGTATTCAGTTTTTCATAACAATATACAATTAATTGTTTAGATGACAATTTGCAGCATAAAAACTAATGACAATTAAACAACCAGTGTGAACCAAGTAGTATTAAGCAAGGGTTTTGTACTTATTCGAAATTCCTCACTAATGAACACCAATTATGTATTCCACACTGTACTTTCATATTTTGTCCAGAATTAGATAACTTTATTTTACTATGGTAAAAGTTGTTAGTCGGTATTTTCAACTTTAATCAATTTATGACAGTGTCGTAACATGTTTTGTCTGTTTTAAATTGGTGTATACTTAACATTTACTTGGAATTCTTTGTTTCTCATTTCTCATTTTGCAGTCTCAATGCCAGTAATATTGCCTATATTGGTTTGCGGGATTTAGATGCTTATGAAACGTAAGTAAGCCACCACAAGAGCAAAGCGTTAAAAAGAAGTAATTATCTGTTTATAAGCTAGTATGAGAAACATTTATCCATAAACACGCTATTAGGTTGTGCATAAACTTGGACTCAATTTAAGTATATATATATATATATAATGCAGTCACTATCAATTACTGAGAATTTATAGATTTGTTGATTAATTTGTGCTGATATCTGGGGCCATTTATAGAAAACCTGAAATCATCTTCCATCTCTCACTCTCAAATACCATATCACAAAGCTAAAGAGAAGCAGATAGCAGACTGCTGTGTTATTAAATCTTTATTTTAGAAAAAATACAGTTGTCGCTGGTATCTAGTGTTGTTCAAACTGTTGGATGTAAAATACATCATATATATCTTTATTAGTACAACTTCCCTATTCTGCTCATTTGAATTTCTATAGCTATTTGAAATAAATGAACTGGTTTTTACACTTCCACTCCCACTCACTCTTTAGTTGTAAACTGTATGATAGTGCGATTAAATACCACAGTATATTTTGAATTCGTCAAGTTTAAACAGCAATAATAAGCAATCTCAAATGTTTGCTCAAATTATTCGAAAGACCTTATCGTTTTATTTTTTAAGGCTCTTATGGGTATTTTGTAAACGATCACCAGCTCTATTAAGATTTCGGCGAGATTCTAATTAATGGAAGAACCAATAACGTTTAAGATGTCGTATCTTGAATATTGGTTCAAAATCCATTTATTTATATGACTAAATAGTATTTTCGCGTCATAGCTGATGTCGGTTCGTTATGAAAACCCTAACTCTAATTCCGAACCCTATCTCCTGACTCTAAGTTCCGATTCTGATTTTTTGCACCAATGTATAACCCTCTTTTGACACTGATAAGTAGGCGGTTCTTATCAAGATCACTTCGGGGACGCTCAGAGGTCGTCCATAAATTACAGTCTCACAAAACTTCCTCATGTAAAGAATACATTATCAACCAAGTGAAAAGAATCTATCTTCAACATTTGAAGCGAGAAGTTGACACTGAATAGCATGATCGCAACTTCAAATAAAAATTTGCTGCAAGCTATTATACGAGTCGACTAGTTTAACAAAAATGTATAAACTAGGACAATATATTTTCCTAATAATCCTTTAACTCCAGATACTGCTATATACCATTTCAATAGGATGGGTCAAGGTTCACCCTTAAGTTAATGAAAATGATCAAGAAGTTAGTTTTTAAGCAAAATTGCTAAGCTGTGTGATTCACCCTTTTAAGGAATTGAAAGTATATTGAAAATATGAACGAACAAAATTACTTACATTTAACTCTATTTACACTTACTTTTATAAGCATTTATTTTTGACTTGGTTATATTTCTTATTTATATAGTCACATTTTTAGTATTTTTATAGACTATTAATTTCGTAACGATAAATCCAACACACTTATGTTATTGACTAAATTGTTAGTTCAAGAGTTATAGGGATAATCTGCCATTATATGTCAAAAGAATTCATACAAAACGTTTCTTGAATAGGCTAATGATCAATACAAATCAATACTGGGAAATTGATTTTCTTATGAAGGATATACTAATGAAGTGGTTGCAAATACTTTTAGTTTATCAGTATCGAGCCGTGGAGATCGTTGAGCTTAGATTGATATAATGAATGTGGACAACTGTGGACACACATTCGATTGAAAAAAATGTTGAGATCCTGGAGTGCAGGCATATCAAGAACAACGGGGAATTTTTAGGAGCTTGGCGCTCAGATCAATCTGGAATCAACAAGCACTTCTAAGTCGATCCAATCTATCAACCAATCAAAAAAATTATGTACATACATAAGACCAAGAATATCATCAAAGGGAAACACCAGAAAAATAACGATAAGCTAAACGCCAATCAAGATCGAGGTCAACAGGACAAGCTGTGAGTCATATTTGAAGAAATTCGAACATTTCCCTTCTACCTGAATTTTATGTTGATGACATCGTTCAGAGGAACAATGAAATCTCCACAACCAAACCATCCATCCTAAAGAATGAAACTCTAACAAAAACATACTATTTTCACTATCTCTTCAGATAGTATTATTCTGTAGTATGAATTACCTTCAAACATATTTACTGCAAATTACAAAACGTCTGATACTATTATTTTTATTCTTGTAGACATGATATTAGAAAACATGGCATTGCTTATTTTACAATGCTGGATGTTGACCGAATGGGAATAGAAGCTGTTATTAAAGAAGCATTGCAAGCAGTAAATCCAAGGTTATTGTTTTAACTGTATTAAATAGCAATATATATATACTATGGTTCTCTGAAATTTTATTAATAACTTGACATTTAGTTAAACATTCGTCTCCAAAATGAAGTTTATTATTCAAATAATTTGCTTATGGTGTTGATGATGTGTCTTGTACTCACATCAAATCGTAGTTTTTTACTGGACGTGTGAATGTAAAAGTGTTCATATTTGTTAAAAATTCACGCAACATTTACCCAAATATGACATGAAGATATCGGATTCCAACAACTATCCTAAGTTAAAAGATGGAATATTGTGTTTGGATTAATCGGTTTTCCGAATATCGTCTATATTTGGCGTGTGTCTGCTAAATTGACAAGTTATTGGATGTTCGTTTACATTTACTAATAACGGTATTACTTATTCTGAGAAAAATATCACTTAAAGATATGGAAAATTCCTGAAAACACTTCACCCTGGAATACTAAATTTCTATGTTTAGTCTATGAGGCCTTAGATCTAGTTTGACACGATTTTACTGACAGGAATAGTTGGTAACAAAAATTAAAGTATTTAGTTAATTATACTCATAACGATGCCTTATTGTTTCAAACGTTCAACCGTCGTTCATTGGGCGGAAAATCAAGTTCTGAGCAACAAGATCGTACAACTAATCCTTATAAAACATGTATAACGCAAAGCCAACTATGCATTTAATAAGTGAGTTACACCAAATTAAATTAGGGAAAGCATGAGGTTATATTTGGAAACAACTGCCAATCTATTTTGAATATTTATGATTTATGATGACTCTAATTAAGTCTACTTAATCCAATTCTAAAGACTTATTTCATATAAATTATGTTAATGTTTGTTTGTATACGAGTAATCACCATCTTTAAATCATTTTCTCCAGTGTGATTATAATATTATACTATCGAGTAACACATCCATTCGGTTATTAAAAGCGCTTTTATTAAATTTATAGGTATTTTTATCATAATCATATAATATATACAAATGTACAAATGTACGAATATCACAAAACGTTTAAGATATGCCAGTACTATAGAAGATCTTCACGACAATCTGTTATTACTAACAGTTAATCAGAACGTTTTTTTATTAAATAATACGAAAATAGTTTTAACTAAATGAGTTAGCTGCGAATGTAGGTAGTCTGTAGGAAAACTTCAAATTGGAATTTCAACAAAAATGGCGCACCATTTACTTTAAAGAATAATTTGTGTTTTCATTTGTGACGAAATTCAAGATAAATTCGCTTCATTCCGTTAAAATGTCATGATTGGTCTTCTTTACAAAAACCGCGCCAAAATACATTTTTTACAGAAACAACAAGTTAATAACTGTTGTAGATGGTATGTCGAAAATGTTGTTTTAGATCGTTAGTTTAGGAATGAAATATATTCACTAATCTTGAATAGTAGAAATAAGTTCTGAAGTAAAATAATATAAGAAAACTTAGAGTTCAAATTGACTTTCTTTCAAAAATAACTTGTAGTAAATGATTATAATCGGTGCCAATTAGAACAATCTTTGTTTAGAAACCGTTTAGAATACTTAATGAAGTAACACTACTTAAGTAAATTTGATTAACAACCCTAAAAGCCTGACATGTTAGACGAAAGTGAGATAATTCTTTGAAAATAAACAAATCGAGCTAATTTCCACAGCTGGATTCACGAGTCAATTTAAGCTAGGCCACCATTGAAGACCTGTAAGCAGTGGACGAAAGATTTGTCCTAGAAAGGGACTCTATAGCAGTGCGCATCCACGATTTCGCACACGGCCTCGACCCAAGGACCTTCGGTATCGCTTGCGAACACTTAACTTCTAAACCACTGAGCAGGCATCCAACCATGTTAATGTCCAACTTCAATTGATCCATGATCTTTCACAATCCTTTATCCATTGTCTGAGATGGATAACTACCTCACACTCAATATGGATTGGACTTCAATGGTCATGGATTCTCACTAGAACGCCAGGAAATTCATCTTGAAGCTATTCACTGCTGACCATATGATTATTATCAGTGCAGGGATTTGCAGAGATTGTACAGAACAAAGAAAAATTCTCTTTTTTTATGTTAGGCTTCCAAATATTAGAACTGCTAAATGTTTTTAGTTATTTACGAATATTTTCCTGCTTATTACAATAGGACTCATCACTCACAAAAGAGATACCTTGATAATACATGTATTTAGATCCTGCGTATTTTTTGATATCTTATTCAAGTTTATCCAGCTGACGTGTAGTGATAAGAGAAAATGCTCATCCAGGATTTTATTATTAGCCATTATTGAAAATAAGATTTATCGTTTAAAGTCTTAAATTGGTGGCTGAAACTAAGAAATCAGACCATCGATTTTGAACATTTAACAAATACTTCCAGAGATTTGCATAATAAGTTTTTACGAGTTTGGAGAGAGTTATTTAGAAAACCGTTCGTCAACTCCTAAATAATCTTTATTTTCAGACTATGTCTTAATTATTAATATGACCGAGAAGTAAAATGTTTGCTTGGACTCATATATATTATGCTGTATCCATATCAAGGTTTGATAATTATCGCTTCTGAGTTCCCAATTGAATATGCATTTGTAGGACCTTGAGTTTGAAATTCCGGGGATCGAAAATTAATAAAAAAATTACTAAGTATAAACTGTCGTCAAAGAGAAAAACCCTTCTCCATCTACTCAAATGGAATCATGGATAACAGATTTCATTGAAAGTAAATTAACCTACTTTTCACTGAGTAGTAGTATATGAAAGACGATATTTAACAACGTTAATCAATAGTAAGCTCTTGGTCGACAATTATTTTGCACTTATCGATTTTCAGTGTCCGTCCCCATTTCAGTACTATTGATCACGTAAATTAAATCCAAATATAATTATTACTATTATTTGAATTTCACGAGCGCCTCTATCGTACTGAAAGCACTGTGTACTTTATTATTTTTAGATTGGAGAAAGCTATTCACTTGAGTTTTGATATAGATGCACTGGATCCTTTAGTAGCTCCGAGTACTGGCACTGTTGTTCCAGGTGGTTTAACATTACGTGAAGGTTTAAGAATATGTGAAGAAGTTTCAGCGACAGGTAGTTTCTTACCTTTTAATATTGCTGTAGTACTCATTAGTAGTATGTCTGAAAATGTTTACGTAGTGTTTATGTAAATTGAAGGAAACTAAAATATATTTAAAATTAATTGAGATTAATAAATACCATGGCGAATCATAGACAGTTTCACTATTTAGTAGTTAGAAAATTATCTAATGTCTTATAAGTATCGTTGATTATTTTGTGAAGCGGAAATAGAAACTGGCTTAATCGTTAAAGAACTAAATTATTAACCCCTTTGTCACAGATTTGGTATTGTTGTGGTGTGTGCTGCTAATGCCGATAGATATAAGTAGTATATATCATCAACCGAAAGTGAAATAAGTGACGCGAGAAGGTTAAGAAGACTGAAGAAAAGAGAGCGAGAATAGAGAATGATTGGTGTGGAAATGAAAGAACAATGAAGTCTGAGACGATTGATTGATATTTCGCAAATGAAATATTTACTGTGTGGTTCTTAGACATTTTGTAATTTTATGTTTAAATGCATTTGGTTGTCCCCGCTTGTGCTCTCGTTCACTACATTGTCTCAAATTCTAAGTATATGTCACTTTAACATATCCTCATAAAAATCTTTGTACTTCATATCTGTGGGCGAGGACCGATAGTCAATTAGTGAGGTTTCTTTTATCAGTCTCAATCAATTTTTTAAAAATTCGTCTCCATAGAACATTCAAACAGTAATTAAAAGGATATCAACTTTTTGAATAATTTCTAACCTTGTTATTATGTCTGTGTAAATTTAAGCTAGCAGAAATAGGAATCGAAAAAAGGAACTTCTGTGGTTTCAGATTGTGTATATAAATAAAAGTTAATTGATGAAATCCAGGGAAAAAAGTGATTCAGCTTTTAATTTTGAACCCGTTAACAAAACGATCTATCTACCTGGTAAACTATAAAAATATTCTATCTTAGAGATCTGAGCATAATTAAGCTTACATTGCAGAATAGTGAAGTGACAAATGCTAAGACTAAATGCAAGTTTCTAAGTAGGCAATATATTTGCATTGAATATGACTGTTGAATTGTATGTTAAGGAGGAATTATCACCACCTGACATGATGGATTATGCTTAGTAGACCATGAATAAGCTGGAGGAAAACGTGAGATTTCAAAACAAAAACATTGGTTAATAATATAATAATATGTGTTTCATACTATGTAGAGAAACATTAGTCTTCTAGTCAGTTTTATTGATAATCATTATGATTTATGATTTTAAATAGCATGGTTTAAATTCATTACCACTTTCAAAGTTACATTTATTCTGTATCTTTCTGAACATATTCGTTTCATATTCATTCCATACTTTCCATTCTTTGGTTAGATTTATTCATTGAAGGTTCTATATCTTGTGTTTAACTCCTCACTAATGTCAATATTATTACATATACTGCTTTGCTTTTCATTTTGTTAATTTATTCATCATAGTGCTGATGTAAGATGTAGTCATGTGCACTGATGTAAACTTTCATTTGGTCGTTTATTCATGATGTTTAAGTAGTTGATTTATAGTGAATGTATGTGAAATTAGATAGCATATCTATTGGTTTGTATGAGAATATTTATCATTGAATGATAACTTTCATGAATTACCATCATTTTTAAGTGTGCAAAATATTTTTTTGTCTTAAAGCTGCTGAGTCCTATTTGGGTTTGTATCCCATTCATGCTTCTAACTTAATAGAACAATGAAATTTATTTAAAAACTAAGAATTGGTGATTTTCATTTCTGTTACTTTCAAATATCTTGATACAATAGACTACAAGTATTTTTGGAACGTTGCTATAGTGATTGAAATACAATAGAATTTATTTGAACTACAAAGTGAGCACTCATCCTAATACACTTAAAATGGCACACTAATTTATTATCAAAGAAAAATTCTGATCTAACAGTTGAGACACGTAATGTGTGAAATTCTCTAGATTTTTGTTGAAGACACTTATAATTTTCATACTAAATGACTTAAGTATGTATCTCTATATACATATATATAATATGCAATATCTAGTGTATTTTGTATTTCACTTTTTTGCAGGAAAACTTTCTATAGTTGAATTGGCTGAATTAAATCCTTTGTTAGGATCTAAGGAAGATGTTGTAAAAACTCAATCATCCGCTGTTCAGATTTTGAGAGCATGTTTAGGCCATTGTCGTTCAGGTCATTTACCATTCAATGTTCGTAATTTAACTGATCAAGGTATTATTAGTCGGATGGCACATATGCAGACAAAACAATGATTATTCCTAATTCTCTAACAGTTACTGATTATCTTTTATTATTATAATCATATAACTCATTTATCAATATATAGCATTACAATGATTTGTGTATTTTTTAAGAATATTATATTATTTATTTGTTGTGTTATCACTTTTAAACTGACTTACATTATTTGAAGAAAATTGATACAATCTAACTATTTTTTGTTTATTAGTAAAGGGTTGTGGAAATTGTTGAGTTCCATTGAAACAATGAACCAGTTCATGTTATACTACCATTGAAAACCTGGGAATACTGAACGGTCGTATCATTATGGTATATGGCTTCTCAGCAGTGTGCGTCCATGGCATCATAAGTGGTGTCACCGGAGACAGTGTCTAAGAAGTTGATAAACAGAGTTCAAAAACTCTTTGCTGAATCAAGTGACAAAGAAACTGAGATGAATTTAGTTATATCCACTTTGATGATGGATAATTATCCCAAGTACTTTATACAAAGAATAATTAAGAAAGAAGGCCAAAACTGTAAGTTAAAAGATATATCAAAAGAACGGGTCAAAACTGTTATGATCGCATATTGTGAAGGAACTTCAAAAGCGATCAAAAGGGTCCTAAATCATTACGATATAAAAGTAATCCTTCAAACAAATAATGCTTTAAACTATTAAGAGTCAGAAACTAAATACGAAAGGAGGAACAAGAAAATTGTTTATGTAAGATCAAATGAAGCGACTATAGTGGTATATATGAAGGTGAGATTTCATGGCAGCTGGATTTGAGGGTGGAGGAACACAGACTTTGCTTAAAGTATGTTCTTAAAGCCTTAAGAGATCTAAAAAAAAACTGGGAAACAAGTCTGATATTGCATTGGACTCAACAGAGTCTGGCCATACAATTGATTTCATTGACACAAGAATCGTCGAAAAACGTTTTAGCTCATACAAGGAGAGAATAACATCTGAAGCCCTAGACATATGGGAAAATCCGAACAGTGTTAATAGGTTCGCTGGAATACAGTTAGCTGTCCTTGAAATCCTTACTACATTTTATTCCATTTAATTCATCCCTTACTATGTGAACATGAACGATTGTGGTGGACCAAACAATATATGAACTCAAAAATGATAAAAGAGTTATTAGGTACAAATAGTAATGTTAATATGTATCAGTTAAATGTTATAAACACAACAAAACTTAGAGACGTTACTTAATTCAGCAGGTTTGTACGTGTTCTGATTGAGTCTGGTACCAAAATCCACAATTATAGATGATTGAAGATTCCAGTAAGATTGATTTCGTCCCAGTGGTATAACCAAACGTAGAATATGATATATTTCAATTATAGTCTATAAATGTAGACGGTATTTGATTTAGAGTTCAGTTAACGCAATCACGAGCGAATGCGGAACAAGAGGTATGTGTGTAACAGTGTATTTGTTAATACGTGACAGCGTGTGTCATGCTATGAATGTAACACGACGGAAGAAAGTGTGTTCAAGGTCATACACTTAACAAATACAATCATTTAATGATAAATGTACATGCAGTGAAAAATTGACAGAATAAATACAAATAACATCAAAAACCATTTACAAAATAAGCTTGTCATGCATATCTCCACACGATTACTTTCACGTGTTTTAATCAGCTTGTTCATCTGAATATATGGTAAACTATCAGCTTGGTTAACGTAACAATACAGACGTTTATTTGTTTACTTATCTTCATTCTGTTAATGCTGTTACATGCTTGACTCATATCATCTATATAATTGTCTGTTTTCATCAAAACATTGCTGATCAGAGGCGATATATAGTCAATGAAATTTTCCCCCACTTTGAATCCACTTACCCTTACATAGAACTGTTATCTTAACACACTTTTTTTTACACTTTTCATATCAAATGTCTCCTACACCCTCCATCAAATTCTACTTTCAACATTAATAATATGACTGAATAACTTGTTTATTACATAATTAACTATAGAACCATATATTTGTATTTGATAATTTTGATGTTTGACTATATTTCTTTGAAAAAGTAAGGATCCGTTTGCCCAACAAAACACTGGATTTACTCAAAATTTAATTTCTAAGAATTTTACAATTATAATTTCATCATTAATATCAAAGTTTCATAATTGGAAACTTGACAAACACTACTTTATTATTTTTAATATTAGTTTTATTCAGTATTATGTTATTGGTACAACATAGAATTCTCATCACAAAGTATTTCAGCGGGTTCCCGCTTATTATTTCTTGATCTATATTGCCGATAAATATTGAGTGATCGCTAGTTAGATATTAGCAGTTCAGGAATCGACATCTGAATAATGTACACGCTTTTTTGATGCATATTGCCAGCAACCACGACGTCCCTGATTTGGACTTTGGTAACTTGTACAGCGAAAGGTTGTACACCTTTCAGGTTCTGTATTTAATTGACATGATAATCTGTTAAAACAAACAAGGAAACAAATAACTTATTCAAATATATAAATGGCAGGAACAGGTAGCCCAGATATTCAAGCAGGTCTCCAGTGATGTTTTTCCTTAAACATATCATTTCTTATTTTATGCATACAGAATTCACTTAACATTAACTTAATTTTACTATGCTTGAAATATTACTGTTACTGAATACTCAACAATTACTCATGCATTGGTTAGATAGGTTAATGAAATGATTAAACCTATGATGGAGTTCCCGTTTAAAATGTTGATCCTTTATTTATATCATTTAATCTAAAACAATTAAAACAGTTTAATTTTCTAGAACTTTCATCTTGGAAAATGTCAGTAACTGATCTAAGTCAAAAATGTATCTTACACATTTCGACGTAATTTGACCAGGTTATTCCAATGTAGCAAAGTATTTATTATATATATAAATGATTGTTGTATGAGTGGTAGTCGACGATAAAAAGAGGCAAAATAGTAATTTTATTTATCAACTTATTTTATGATGATATGTAGTTTATATGTATATAGTTTGATAGTGATTAGTTTAAGCAACACTGAAAACTTACTTACTTACTTACGCCTGTTACTCCCAATGGAGCATAGGCCGCCGACCAGCGTACTCCAACCCACTCTGTCCTCCGCCTTCTTTTCTAGTTCCATCCAATTCTTGTTCATCTTTCTTGTGTCTATCTCCATTTCTCGGCGTAATGTGTTCTTTGGTCTTCCTCTTTTCCTTTGGCCTTGAGGATTCCATGTGAGGGCTTGTCTTGTGACGCAGTTGGGTGCTTTCCTCAATGTGTGTCCTATCCACTTCCAGCGCTTCTTCCTGATTTCTTCCTCCACTGGGATCTGGTTTGTTCTTCCCCACAGTACGTTGTTGCTAATAGTGTCCGGCCAACGGATCCGAAGTATTTTGCATAGACTATTGTTAATAAACACCTGTATTTTCTGGATGATGGCTTTTGTAGTTCTCCAGGTTTCTGCTCCATACAGTAGAACTGTCTTGACATTTGTATTGAAAATCCTGACCTTGGTGTTGGTTGACAGTTACTTTGAGTTCCAGATGTTCCTCAGTTGTAAATATGCTGCTCTTGCTTTGCCGATCCACGCCTTCACATCTGCATCAGATCCACCCTGTTCATCAATGAAGCTGCCCAAATACGTAAAGGATTTACATCTTCCAAATCTTCTCCGTCAATTGTGATTGGATTGGTGCATTCTGTGTTGTATCGGAGAATCTTGCTTTTCCCTTTGTGTATGTTGAGACCTACTGCTGCTGAATCTGCTACCTCACTGGTTGTCTTCTGCATTTTTTGTTGTTGCGTGTGCGGCAGGAGAGCCAGATCATCTGCGAAGTCTAGATCGTCCAGTTGCATCCTAACTGTCTACTGTATCCCATGCTTCCCTTCAGATAATGACATCTTCATGATCCAGTCGATCCCCAGGAGAAAGAGAAAAGGTGAGAGTAAGAACACTGAAAACTAGAGTGAACCTAAAAGCTATTTCTTCCTCTTAAATTATTTTAGCCTAATATAAATCTTGCTTATCTAATCACATTTTCCCGATTCAGTTATATAAGAATCTTCGTTCAAGTAAATTACAACCAAATATCCCAAATCTTATTAGACTGACGAAATCGTATATAGACAAATGCCATGATAAGTTGATCAATTTAATTGAACTTCATACTCAAGCATTACCTGTATTAACAGAATTGTCTATAGTTTGCCATATCAAATTCATCAATTTTTGTAGTACTGTCATTTTGAAAACAAAAGAAGGGATAAGGAAAAAGCTAGAAAAATCTTGCTGCAATAATAATAATCTCACTTCCTTCCTAATCAATCCTGATAAATATGTCACTAATTTGTCCTCCATTGTATTGTCTGTTCATGAAAAGGAGGCATTGTCCTTGGGTTTAAAATTTTCTGTTCCTATAAAACAAATCTCTGAATTGACAGTCAATGCCCAATTTGAAAACCTCTATGATCAATTGAGTACTTTAACCCCTTCGTCCTTAAAGAATCAAAGTTGGTTTAAAGCCAAACTAGTGGATATAGCGCATCATTTTCATTCTTCTGGACCAAAGCAGAGAAGCATATTAACTTCTCAGCATTTCAAATCATTAAAAGAATTGCGAAATAATGCCGATATTATTATACTTAAACCCGATAAAGGATCTGGTGTTGTTATTATGAATAAGTCAGATTACAAAAATAAAATGGAATCCATTCTCAGTGATAAAAGCAAATTTTTGGCTGATGTTGACTTTGATGGATTACGTAAATTAGAAAAGAAAGTGAACTCGAATCTTGTGAAATTGTTAAACATGAATGCTATTAACAAAGATGAGTTTAATTTATTAAAACCTATGGGTTCGGCATATCCTAATTTATATGGATTACCGAAAATTCATAAGCCTAATACCCCCCTACGTCCAATTCTATCTATGTGTCGGTCACCTACACACAACCTGGCAAAATGGCTTACAAAATTATTAAACCCTATCAGAAATCAATATTGTAAGTATTCTTTGACTGACTCATTCGAATTAATTAATTACTTAAAGGATATAAATATAAAGACAAAGACAATGTGCTCCTTTGATGTAAACACTTTATTTACAAATGTACCTCTTAGGAAAACCATTGATATTTTGTGTGACTTTATTTCTTCGGAAAACCTTCCACTACCTTTTCCTGTTAAAACTCTTAGAGATTTATTATTATTATGTACAGATAATGTAAAATTCACATTTGAAGGTGAACATTTCAGACAAATAGATGGTGTAGCTATGGGAAGCCCTCTAGGACCATTGCTAGCTGATGTGTTCATGGTATATGTGGAAAATTTAGTTGGAGACTCAATTCGAAAGATGGGTCTGTATAAACGATATGTAGACGACATAATAATCATAGGTGATAAAATTGAAGACATAAGCCACTTGTTAGAAAAATTCAATAGTAGTCAAAACCACATTTCCCTTACATGTGAAGAAGAGAAGAACAACCAACTTCCTTTTCTTGACATCCTGATTACTAGGAGAGATGATGGTTCCATCAAACGTGCTGTATATAGAAAACCAACATGGACAGGACAGTATCTTAATTTTCATAGTCACTGCCCTATTCATTATAAACGTGGTTTAATAAAGAGCTTATTCAATAGAATCAATCGTATTTGTACTAGTGATACTATTGAAGTAGAGATGAAGCTCTTGACCGATGCGTTAATCAATAATGGTTACCCTTTGAAGTTCATAAACCGCTGGAAGGGTTGCAATATGACTAGACCTATGACGCTTCTGGCACCCAAAAAGCGAGTTTATATTACGCTACCATTCAGAGGTGACACAAATAGTCTCATGTTGAAACAGAGACTTAAATTAGCTATCAACCGGACATTTTATGCAGCCCAACTTGTCATTATCGAAAAGACAAGGTCTATGTTTCACCAAAAGCCCAAACAGCATGAAAACGATTGTGTCACATCCCATTGTGTCTACAAATTTACATGTACGTGTGGAAACACGTACGTAGGGAGGAGCAATCGTGATTTGCAATTAAGGGTGGGTGAGCATATACCAAAATGGTTGCAAAATCAGATGAATTCCAATGGTGAAATAAGACCACAGGATAGACAGACATCATCATCCATTGCGAAACATTTGATTGAGACGGGTCATAAGGTTGATATCAAATCAGCATTTGTTGTGTTGTACAAAAGCCTTCAAGGACGTATACTAAGGTTTATTGAAGCCTTGGCTATACGAAAATTGAAACCCCCTTTATGTGTTCAAAAACAATTTGTACTTACACTTAACCTACCCTGGTAGTACTGATTTACTGTCCAGAGTGGTAATCACATTTGTTTTTGTGTACTTTAATATTTTTCCTTTGTTATGACTTACCCTTAACCTGTTTAGTTGACCTTTTAATTTTCATATATAAATGTTCTTAACAAGTATATGTGCGATCAGATTGTTCGAAATGTATTGCGCAAATATATCACATAATTCTGATAAACTACGTCTTCTCATTGCATTATCGTAATATAAAATACTTATTTCTTTGCTAATTGATTTTAGTATTCTCCAGGTAGTGTTAAATAATAGTGAAAGTTCTCTACAAATCATAAGATTTATCCAACCGTATCCTTAGTGAGTGAATTTTAATTCTGAATTGATCTAAGGATATTATGATAAGATGAGCAAAATAATTTCGTAACAACTATTTCAAACACTATACAAGCATACTAGAAATTTTGCTTGTTTAAATCAAACAGCACATTAAACGGAACTAAGACTTCCAACAAAAGTTTTTTTAGTGTAATTAGGTAACACTGCTAGTAATGCATGAGTTAACAGTTATGTTTGTCGATGAAAAATAAAACGGTGAAATTTTTAACTACTTTAATATTTGAAGATTATAATATGAATATAAGTAAGAAGTTTTGTCAGTAAATAAATTTGTATTTAGTGTCGGTAACAATCTTATTATGTCTACGAAAGTAACTAATAATTCTAATCTCATTTCTATCTAGTTACCAAGATGACAAAAAAATATGTTCAAGTTGAACGTAACAATGAATCAGTTGGATCTGTTAGATATTTACTATATAATGTATAATCACTATTACTCTGTTTCAATCATATAAAAGAATTTATAGTAAAATCTGTACAAATCATCAGGAATTGAATGTTAAAGATAATGGTACATACAGTTTATAATATTTCAGGATCAGTTTTTCACTTAGTCCTTAATGATGAAGTGTTTGACTCCCGAAATCAGGTTTACATTGATTTAATATGAGTAAATTTCACCAGGATCTCATATTTGTCCAATTATTTCATATACGTTATCCATTTTGTTCGGAGAAAGAATAAGATAAGGTAGTTCATTGATGAACTTCCCAAAACATAATAATAGTTGATTGAAACGGATTTTGTGTCGTCTTCTTTAGTGTTATATGTTGTAATAACACTTACCAATAAACAGATATCAATATAAAATCAAAGTTGTTAAATTGACAATGTAGTTTTCATTAGCTTAAACGTATGTTTAACATAGAATATTTATAGGATTTGCGCAGTTATCGATTTCAGGAATGAACCTGTTTTAAAATGATCAAAACAACACTGTATATTTCACAGGTCACACAAATCTTTAGTCAAACATATCTTGAATAGTTGTACAACTTTTTCAAGCCTTTTAACTTTGTATCCTATACTACTTGTCATGTTATTTAGTAAGCATCGGCATTTTGAATAAAATGTTTAAGTAAAATAACTTGATTAGTCTTAGAATGAGATTGTTTACCAGTAACCATCGACGTTTGTTATTTCTTATCTTATGATATACATTTAAATACGAAATGTTCTTTTAATGGTTACTGCCCCCAAATGCTCTGGTACGACCGAGAGTGAGGAGAGTCAGCTCTCCCTCTCGAAATGCTCTCACATGGTCACGTGCATACCACCACTGTCAGGGAAGTCCTACTCACTACCCTCTCTCAGGCAGCGGTGTTGTTTAAGAAACTGAGAGGACGAGAGGCGAATTCCTGGCACTTTAACCGGATTGATGGATACGGAGGATCCACCTAGGGAAGTCGAAAAACCATGATTACAAACCGATGGTGCACATGGGCTCCAGTATCGTGAAGGAAAAAATGGCGTATGAACCAACTACTACCATGGGAACGCATCTCCTAATGTTGTCCCACTGTCTTGTGGATTAGACCTTTAGGTCGATGGCTTAGGGTGTGGCCTCTTATGAAAACCACCTGCTTCGGTTTGGGCAACTAAGTAGTATCACAGCCTTCACGCAAATCGAATGATTTATGTGGCGCATGTCTATTTCGTACCTCCTTGTACCAATGTTTATTTGTTAAAATAAATAAATAAATGGTTATTACTGAAGTTTAATGGCTGTGGAATAGAAATATGACCTGAAATCCAGTACGTTGTAGTTGATCAGAGCTGTATGACAATCCGCTAATATTGATTTGTATCGCACAAGAAATAAATTATTTCAGAATATTCCAGCTCTGTAATTTTTCATATTTTATCAGAGATGCAAGTAAATAGAAGTTGGAATGTCGAATACTCGTGAAGTTATCCAGAACTGTGATTTCAGCTAATTATTCCTAAGATTGATATTCCCTTCCTATTCGTTTTATTCAGTATATATGTGAATGTTCAATACTTGATGTTAATATTATTACGTATTCTCATCTTAGTTTGCCATTCATTTTCTTCATATCCATCGAATGGACCATTTTGTTTTACATTTCTTTCAGAAATTACTGCTTATTAATACCTTTATCACTTCTGCATGACCAATCACCAACACTCGAAAACATTGGATAGTTATTGATAATTTTTGGATAACGCAACACTTCTGTTTTTTATCACAGACTAATATATGAACTTAATTATAAACACGATTACACAGCTTAAAGTCACTTCATTGAACTGTCTTTAGTTTGTTTAACTTTCTGAATATTTTAATTTGTATTGTGCTGAACAAACACACAGTTAAGGTAGACCAATTTAGTGTCAAATGCAAAATATGATCCTGGTTCAAATGTAATTGACTATAATAAATCGACCTTACGAGAAAGTAAGTTCATTAAGTGTTAAATTTAACAGTAAACATTTATATGATTCGATTTTGCATTCAGCTAACTTTACAATTGATTATATATCTTTAAAATATTACATTTCTACTACCGTACCTTTCTATTTTTATAAGCCACCAACCAATTAATATTGAGTTGTGATGACCAACCAATCAAACGATAAGAGTAACGGTGAAATAATAATGTACAGTTGAGCAAATGTTTGATTTGATTATGACCCTGAACTATTTATTTAATAAACAATTACATCAGAACGTATATATATATATATATATGCTTTCAAAATCATCAACACAATCTTCGCCACTGTCACCATCGTCATCATTATAATTAACCTTATTGATTATTATGAAGTTTTGCTTACTTGGTTACAGAAATGTAAAACGAACAATTTTAAAGAAGCCCATTTTTGTCTTCGTATATTCACTTTTATTATTTTCATTAATTTTTCTAATTGCAAATCATTTAGAGAAAACATTCTTATCAGTTAAGCTAATTGACATAAACACTGATAACGTGTATAAAAAATATGAACGATCATTCAGTGAACATGAGAATTTAATTTTCAACATTGATTATGCTAACTTTAGTATTGAAAAACAAAAACATGTAAATGTAAATTCAAAACGACATTTAGGTTCAATTGATACAAAGCTATTTGATAAACAAGGTTTTATACTGAAAAAGAAATTCAATATGAATAATTTAATTTTATTTCCATTTGAAACAGACAATCCATATGAGGATGATAGAATATTAGCACAAATGAGTTATGTTCCTGTACAAGTGTTAGAAGTAAGTATGTTATACATCAACTATTGTAATATGGTTATTTATGTCTTAAGTTAAATAAAATGAATTTTGCTTTTATTTATCTATTATACAGTGTCTATTATTATGAAATGATGTAATCTGTCATTCAGCTATGAAAGATTCACAAGTTATTCACATTCAATCTTGTATGGTTGTTGGGTTAAACGTTTTTCTAATCTTTTAATGTTCGAAATGATTCTGAGCCAAGAAATAAATAAAAAAATTAGTGAACGTTAATATCAGTTTCAATGACCTGGAATCACATTTCACGGAAAGTATTAATAAACATTAGTGGAGAAGTGTTTCTCTTAGATATATAAAGTAATACTTAGATTGGTTCCTCATGAAAAAACATTGAATTAAAACGTTCAGACCAGTTTATTGAGTGAATTATTGAAGCTAACAAATTTCAATTTTTCAGATATTTAAAAATGTTATTTTACATAGTAATCCCTTCATAACCTTTAATGCTATTACAAATGTAGTAATACCATCAATAAATTGTCATAAACTACTTACTTCTATGTAAACTCATTTCCATCTTATCATGCTTATTCCGATGCACAATACCATAACAATAATTTTTAGCTGAACAATGTATATCTAATTCCCAAGTACTATCACATAGATTTTCTTTCATTTCGCTAATTTTGAGAGCTTTTTTTTGTTAGACACTTTATAGTAGTTCATCAAATTATACTTGTTTTCACAAAGATAAATACTAGTATTTAGTGTTTATTTGCTTAAACTCGTTATTCTGTTATCAAATAACTCTTTGTCAAACATTTAATATCTCGTATTTCTGATTTGTTTAATTCTTTTTATCACAATTGATTGATCACTGGGTGGTGATCAATGTCATGCTTGTCTAGTCCTTATTAGTGCAGATCGAATGCTATCGATCATGTTGCAATGTGGCCACCAGTCTAGGTGACTCGACACTCGACATCTCAGTCCTACAGGAGGTTAGTCACGGCTCGGATAGCTCAGTGGTAACGTCTCTGACTGGGAAGCTGGCTGACACGAGATCGAATCCGCCAGGGAGCATCAGTTCCCTCAAGATTACAGGTACACCTTGCTGACGAGTGCCAAGTAGCACGAAACCCGGGTCCAGGGTTTCCTGTTGACTACCTCCAACCACCATCTAAATTCTTTTTATGTTAGTCATTATTTTACTGTTATATCATGTTTTAAATTGAAAACTGAATAATCATAGAGTTTGTTGAAAAAATGAAACACATTCAAGTTTCAGTAAACCATACTCATACTTGTATACAATTGTATTCAAATCGTTTGAAGAAATACTTTTCAAACAGTTGATTTTTTCTTCATTAATTTCTTTCAAAGTCAATTTTTTTCTTAATAAACACTGTGAGACATGTAAGTAGTTGATTGTTTTCAGTGCTGTTTCAGAATATACTACAACATTATTGTTGTGTATATGTATTACGGTAGTTTTCAGATCAAATATAATTCTTAAAATGTATGAGGACAAAATATTTGTATGTCGTACTGGATTTTAGGCTCCTCACCTTCTGAACAGTTTTGAATGAATTTATAAGACTTGGCTGATTTACAGTTAACCTATTTTTGATAAGTCACGACACTAAGAACAGATGGATTGCACGTTGTTAACAATACATTTCATTTTTCAGCTAATCTACAAATATTTCAAAACAAAATGCTTAAGATACGTTTGTAAATTAGAATTTGGTTAACAAGATTAGTAGGTAATCTATAATAGTAATGTTCTTCCGTTGTGTAACGCATAGTTGACTAGTGTTTATCACAGCCCACCTTGAACTGAGAATTGTTAACATTAAGGTACATAATTTAAAAAAATTGCCATTAAGGATAATCTAACAAGTTTCTGATGCAAATGTTTATACTCAAAATATTTTGTAGCTAATAATAATTGTCATTTTATTTGCTGCTTTTATAAACCTACCCTATTATCAACACATATTAATTTAGTTTATTTTCATGCAATCAAAAGACAATAGACTAGTAACAATTATTAAGGTTTAATTGAGTAACAGGGTCTATGTCAAACTATAGATAACGTCATATTTGCTTGAAACAATAATCAATAAGTTATTCAAAAACATTTCATCATGATACTAAGTGTAAAACCATACTGTTAATTACATTTTTCCAGTAGATGCAATTTTTTAACGTTGTCATAGTTTGTTGGTTTGTCAGCATACAATCATTAATTCATTTACATCAATGAATAACCATTAAACGATAAATGGATTTAATCTCATGTGTAATATGCAGGTCAAACATCTACTTGACTGTTCAAAAGCCAGAATGAATAGTATTTTTAATAATTAAAGGATACTGAGTAAGTCAATGGTCAAAGGCTGGTAACCTCATGTATTAGTAATTCATTTTCATACATATTCCTTTTTCTAAACGAATGAGATAAATCTAGGTAATTTCTCATTTAAATTATGGATTGATTGTTCAGCTCTTGAATCAGTTAATTTTCAAGCATTAGGAACATGTTCAAACCTTACTAAATATTCTTTTGTTTGAATAACCACATAGAGTCAATAACTGATACAGAAACGATATAACTTGAAATACCAGTACCTAATTATTTACTTGGTAAGTAACATTAGTTTTAACAATATACATTATCGTTATTGATTGATTTTAGTAAATTATTATCTTGTTTTGTGTCGCATGTATAGATTTTTTGTACTATCGCTATTTTAGACCAACCTTGTTCTATATTAATTCACGTTATTGACCTAAGGACAACAAACATATTAGCAAACTAATATTTACTGTGTTTCTTTTACAATATAAACATTCCTTTTTTGATACGACATTAGTGTGATAAATTTTGTTTTAGAATTTATCATAATTCACTTTAGTAAATAGTAAAATATCGAAATATAAGTTAAGTATTTAATTTTCTGAGTTGTAATAATTCATATCTATTATACATTTGTATTAGGCATTATCAAACTACTTCGAACTTGCTATAAGTATTTTAATGGTATTTTTAATGGTATAATAATGAGTTGCGTAATACAAAAGAACGTACATATTATAAATATCATCAGTATAGGGGTTGTGGAGATTATTAAGTTCTTTGATTGAGATCATGAACCGACTGATGTTAGACCACCGTTGGAAACCTGGAAGCTCTGGATGGCCGTTTCGTCCTATTGTTGGACTCCTCAGTAGGGCGCATACACAATCCCCCTCGCGGGATTCGAACCTAGAGCCCTCAGTCTCTGGTTGATGTTAGACACCAACACCATTGGATGCTGGCTTAGTGCTCCAGTAGGTTAAGCGTTCGCGCGCGAGACTGAAGGCCCTGAGTTTGAATCCTGCGAGCGGGGACGTGGATGCGCATTGCTGAGGAGTCCTACAGTGTGACGAAACGGTCGTTCAGTGCTTCCAGGTTTCCAACAGTGGTCTAACATCAGTCGGTTCATGATCCCAATTACAAATATCAGTTAGCTAGGCTTGTCTTTTGCTAGTTTAGAAAATAATAAGTGAAATACAAAAAAAAAAAACTGTTTCATTTTGAGAAGAATCATGGTTCCACAAGATTGAAATTGTCTTTCATTAATTATAATGGCATATCAAATTTTCACGTGTTACAAAATAAAATCATATATATATATATATATATATTTCAAAAATAATATGAAAATACATTAATCTTTGTGATTTAGATACCATTTATGCTGTGTGATATACTTGAATCGAAAATTTATTTGTTTACTCATAAGTCGTTTGAAAAAAAACTAGTAAACTCTTAAGAATGTAGAATAATCAACAATTCTAAGTGAAGATGGATAGTAGCTGGCAGTGGAATCCAGAACGCACGTTTCGTCTCGTCAGATGGATGTACCTGCATCCCTGTGTTGATGTTTACTTCGGGACTAGGAACAAGTACCGCTCTCTTCAAACGCCATCTCGTCTTAAAAAGTCCCAAAATAGGAAGAAACGCGCGTCCTGAATTCCACTGCTAGCTACTATCCATCTTTACTTATAAAGATTGTGACTTAAGGCATTATCGAGGCAATTCGAATAGGGTGTACATATGCCAACAAGAGACTGATCGATTGCAGTCCTAAGCAACAATTGGAAGACATGTGCAAACAACACCAAGTGAATTCTAAGTGATTATCAATAAAAACTATACTGAGCTAACAATTACGTAAAGACGGGTTAATATACTTACAAATTAAGTTATAGTCCTGGGTTTAAGCCTTGGACACTATCAGGAAATCCCATACTAAGACAAAATGCCTGTTTTTAATGCTCCTTGAAATTTTATAATTTCTTAATCGAGCTCAATCTGTGAAAAATATATCGTTCATCAATAATAAATACATTGAGATTATTTTGGTATATTTTAATCTCTTCTTCACTTTCGACCTGGCATTGAATACATATAAGTATTTGTAGATAGATAAACATGAGAAATATTTGAGCTTTATCAAACATGAAAATCTATTTCCAGGTTAAATAAGGTTAGTGATTTAAGCTGATGGGATTGATTCAACTAAATATTTCTATCGTTTCATTTACACAAAAAGAAATTTAAAAAAATTTGGTTAATATGAATTAAAAGAACGAGAATCTCAAAGTGATATACATATATTTCATGGATTATTTTTTTTAAAAAAAAAGCATATAGGAATAGACAGATAGTTTCCATTTAAACATTAGAATTAAAACACGAATTTCGGCAAAAACAAACAGTACCATGTTTTTAGTTAACTGAGCATAGCAACGACAAATTTTCAGTTATTTGATTTATCAGACCTTTGTATATGTAATACTCATTTTAACAATATGGCAAGCCCACATATCAATACATGTGAGTCAAATAAGTTTTATTCATTTTCAACAAATACACTTTAACTTTGATTTTTTCTAGTTTATTATCAATAAAGTGTTCTTTATAGATTATGTTTTAAAAAAACTTTTCAACGAGTATTACGTAATTT